AATGTAGTGTAGCAAAACACATGTATAGAAATTGTTATAATCTGATAAAATAGTATGGATTAGGAGGTAAAACTTAATTCTTATTAGGTAGTGGCGCAGGCTTATAGAATGGCTCACAATCTAAGTTAAATATCAAATGAGAATAAGTGGCCAAAGCGGTGACAAGTATGCATTGTGGTCATTAGATTCTAATTTGAAATCCGGAACCCATAATAATTAGTTGACTATATGTAATAATTACGATGTAAAATATATGAAGGTAAAAAATCTAAGCGCCTGAACCATTACGCATTATGCCTGGTATTGTGTAAATATATGGGAAAAAAGCTAATAGTACAGACTATTGAAAAGTTAAAAGATGAACTAAATTAGTCATGCACATAAATTAGAAAGCTTTAGAGTAAAAAGCGACCTAATATGCCAAAACCTAGAGATACTTTCTAGGTAATAGAGTAAATGTCAGGAGTACCATAGTGACACAGAATTATGGTAGTTTACCTTAGACTCGATACATTGTTTAACACTAGGAACAACATTTGCCCAAATAGATTCCTCTGTTCCAACTAGTTGCAAGATTTCTTGGTCGGATGTGACTCCCATCGCCTTAAACAGGACGCCTATTGGAACATCAACGACAAAAGAATTGTGCGCAAGATAAAATCTGTCTTCCTTCACAATTATGTTCGTTTTTGATTTCGTCTGAGCTGAGGAAGAAGTGACAGAACACATAAGACCGCGGCGACCATCTTCTTCAACAATTATGCGATTTTTAGACAGCTGTTCTTGCAAAAGAATCACCTTTTCCGAGCCACCAATAATAAAATATCCACCCGGATCCAAAGGGCATTCCTTCAGACGCATCAATTCCGAAGGACTTTTTCCTGCGTAATTTTAAACCAGATTATGGCATTCGTTCATGTGGAAGAAATAAGACAATATACTAATGGTATACTGGACTTACCACTTAAAACACAGGATGAGCTTTTGAGCATAATAGGCATTTTGCCGATGAATACACTTTTTTTTGTGACGAGCTCATTTTCTCGCATGAATGTAAGATCAACTCGTATCTCGCCTGCATACGTCAAGTCGCGCAACCGGCAATCATGAGGAGTGACAGAACTAGAAACAACGCTCCCTTCGTTTACCGAAGGCGGCAAAACATATATATCATTATATTCCAGCCACCAATTCGCCTCGGGGACACTTATCCTTTTATTAGCCTGTACAATGTTTTTAATTTCTGTTTCGATAAAATGATTGTATGCGTCTATATGAAGCTTAACGAGACCTTTAACGGATAAAAATGAAGGAACCAAAAGATGTTTATCTTTAAGAACCTTGGTAGACATAATATAATATAGAAGCCCAAAATAACGCAACAAGGAGCTACGGGGTGCACATGCTAATGTTGAACAATGAGCGCAATTGCAACATGTATTAAAAAGATAAGACAAATATTAATACAGAAATAGACTAAAGATATTTTCGT